GAACGCGAGACGCGTATGTGTCCATTTCTTCTGTAAATTTTTTTAACGCGTCACCGGTTATATGGTTCGCGTATTGTGTAAGCAAGGATACGTTGTCGCGAGTCGTTGAACTCGTCTCGATCGCAGCCACGACGTCGCGTGATCCAAAATGTACGTTTTCGTGAAAAAAAATATCGATGACCTTGAAAATTTGGAAAAAATAATCTAGAAAGAGAAGGAAATATATTCGTTGTATATTTCATACTTTGGACATTTTTATTGCATTTTAAAATTTGATGACGATATTTGGGCGATACGTTTCTTGCAGAGTCACCCGGTATGTAGAATAAGGTATCTATATTTCGCTACGGCAAAATTAAAGTTTCCAGTCGTCTCTGTACCTATCAGTAAGGGTCTCTTAAGCGTGTTGACAAACAGTCGACAAGACGATAAGCGATATATAAATACAGTGTGTGCTAATTGCAATAAAGGATCGAGAAATCATTCGACGGCGATTTTTTGATCTCAAGGTTATTTCTAGATCGATATAGTCATCGAACTCTTCTCCATACTGACCATAACGCCGTACGATCGAAAACATACGATACAGTATCAAAAAATTGATGACCTTGAAACGATCTTGGAAACAATTTTTTTAATCCAACTGTTCAATTTTTCTACAATTGTTTCTTTCTATAAAATCTCTATAAAATCTATAACTCATTAGTTCAATTTTAGTATTCTATATTTCTTAAACTCCCTCCATTTTGAAAAATTCGTACACAAAATGTTTTGATATATTCATGAAAATATCGTGTCGTTTGAATAATTAGTTGGTTAATTTGGATAGAATTTGTGAATTTTAACGAGGTTAAATTTTAGGTTATGTGGCTTTACAATGGTCTAAAATCAAAAGTTTACATTTGCAGAATATTACACGGTTTTGATCCGGCAGTGAACGTGTTAAAATAGTACAAGTCGTGCGTCGAAATGCATCGTGCGTGTATATTTGTCTGTGTTAATTCGTGTATAGGGTAACGCGCCAATGGCCCGAACGTGTGGTTGGTCGTTTCCATGGAAAACGTCGTCACAGTTCAGAGAATCGACGATTCCGTTTAATCACGGCGATCTGGCGTAGAGATAACGCCGATACGAGATTAGTCATCGATACGGGAGCACCCTTATCTCCTGGTACGGTCGAGAGCCTCTGTCGAACGAATTTCAAGACTTTTCCGTTCGTCCTGTTACGTTCGCAATCTTTCCGTCGGTCGAACGGGACACAAAAGCCTCGCCGACGATTATCTCGACGACGCGTCGTCGCGATAAAATGCTACCGTCGACGGTGACCGGGTCTGGTGAAAGCCATCGTTGAATTTTCCACTGTGTTTTCCTGCCCGATTGTGTCCCGAACGAGACGTGAGAATCTCCACGGGGCTAACGAACTCGCGCGGCAATAATGGCGCATGCGCATCAACGACGGAAAATTAGGCGCGAAATAGCTACTGGCGAGAGAAAGGGTTACCAACTGTAATATTTTAACGGTCTATGTACGGCTATCGTGGTGGTAGTACTCTTCCTTTTTTGGAAACGATCAACTAACCTAACCTAACCTAACCTAACCTCTAACCTAACCTCTTTTTTCATTTTACGTTCATTATTTGCATTACAGATTTTCGTTGAAGCTCTAACGATTGATTTATTTAAATGATAGCAAAGAAATTCCCCCTCCCTATTTTTAATGATTTTGAAAAAGTTTGGAAATCACTTGTGCAAGGAATATCTTGTATATTCTATTCTCGTGATCCAAGTGTGGTAACCCTAATTATGAACTTTCCTCGATTGCTCCAGGGAAGCCATTGTCTTTTCGTTGATCGTGAATCGTGAAAGCTTGTTAACCTTTCCTAATCCTGCACTGAATCTCTTCCTATATCTGGATCTATCGCGCTCGAAAGTCGAAGGCGATTGACTAAAATATCGGTTAATCGTGGCACTTTGTACTATTCGAAGGTTATGTCAGAGTACATAAATATCAGACATGCGTCGTAAATAATACATAACAGATTTAAATAAAATTCGATGGAACACAATTTTTCAGAATGATACAAAAAAGAATTGTACTTTATTGGACAACTTTTTTCGGAACATAAATATCATTGCTTAATCAAACTTAAGTTTATTAATAAATTATCGATAAATTCTTGTGGCAGTTAATTTAATTATATAAACGGGCTTAAAAACTACAAAGAATGAAAAATATAAAACACACAAATTCTGTATGTAACGGGGAAGTGTTTCCGTGAAATCGGAGAAAGAAAAGCGTAGATACTTTTTTTCCCTTCGTCGACTTGGCGCAATTCTCTTGAACGACTTTTATCAGCACCAGACATGTTATGCTGTCTCGCGGCGGGCGCTATTATTCTTCGAAATTTTTCAACTACGTCGCAGAGAATTACACGAAGGAAAAGGAAATTAATGTGGCGCACGTTTCTGGCGAACGTCGCCAAATTATGGGAGACACAATTCGCCGTACATTCGCCAACAAAAAAAAAAAAATGGTCGAACCGTTTAAATTAAACTTTCAAATAAATGCATTGTTTTAAGAAACAGTTACAAAGTATACCAACGAGACGTACAACAATTTAATTCGCGACGTAAAAGGGCCCGTGGGCAGGTTTCGCGAAACATTGAATTATCGTACCTCTGGAATTACTCGAATGTATATTTAAACACATTTTTTATTCAATGTTTACACTCCACTTTCCCGGACAGAAGGTGTACGGTTGTCGTTTCTCCGGGGAAATGATCAAACGACGCTACCGCATCGCGTCCTTTTCCGCTCAATATCGGAAGTGCAAAGCGTTTTTTGTTCCCGCGGTGGTCTGCCCGACGTGCAGTTGGCCTTTGTCCAACCGACCGTCATTTGTTTTGACCCTGCAACGACGATTTTACCGTGAAGCGGTAAGAAAAGATCGTGTGTTGACCTCTGGCGATTAATCGACGTCGGGTCTCCCAATGAATCGATATCGTTATAATTCGTTCTTTGTTTTCGTACGTTTTCGCTTGAAAAACAACGCCGTGTGTTCGTTCGTTCAGATAGAAATCGCACGATTTCGGCGATCTTCCAGTATGGCGCATGCGCGAAAGTAATCCGCACCTGTGGGACCGTCGATTTTATTCAAATGTTTTCTGACAATTCTAGATCAAATGTCCTCATTATTTAGAAAGTATTCAACGTTCAATTTGTGGACGTAAACATCTTCGTAAATAACTGGCATTTATGCATCTAAAATAGTCGGAAGAAATTTGAATAAAATCGGTGACCCCGCATGCGCGACGTCTTTTCGTTAGATGATATATCAACACGTTGACTGCCACAAAAATATTTCTTTCCGCTCGAAAATTTAACAAACGCCGAATGCATCTTTGAATATGGAAAACAGGCGTGTCGGTCAGCGTGTTAAAAAGACATTCTTGTTTGTACAACATGCAAATTAATATTTTACGCTTCTTCGTGGTGTCACGCTCGACGGATGGAATATATTACAATCTGCGTGGGTTATAATCCGTCGAAAAATTTTCGTCCCCGCTGCAGCCAGCATAACGAATTCCTTTCTCTAAAATAACCATGCATTTATTTCGAATGCGAAGAACGTAAAACTTGTAAAGACAATGTTTACTACATTACACAGTCACGATTAGTTTTAACCTAGATGTACAAATCTTTGACGTGAAAAAAAAAATTCTACGCGATAAAGATTTCCTACTATCAGAATCTTTCACGACGGTTAGTCGATTTAAGGTTATGGGCTTCCCCATACGCTCCGTAAACTTCGAAGCACAGCGAGCACCCGTTCGAAATCCGTTCTCGCGTTGTCGCGTGCTTCGAAATCGAAAATAAACCGTGACACGTGCGACGTCGAACCGATTCGTCGTTTTTCGGGGTTTACAATTGCGCTATAGCAGACGACCCGCAGCGCAAATCGCATAGCAATCTGCCAAAGTTTGAAAAACGGCGCGCGAAACAACGCACGCACCGATCCCGCGTGCTTTTCGACGAGCGGCAACAAGCGACAAAAAGAATTTTTACTCACCATTGGATGCATATAGAAATTCCGCGCGTTCCCGTGGTACCCCTGAATCGGATGCGACTTGCAACGTTGTTTTTTCTTCAAGTGTGAACGAGAACGTCTCACGACCGATACCACCACAGATGGGCCCATCCGGCCATCTTGCCGTGTACCAAAACGTGTACTACACTGCGCTGGCGTATTTTACTAGCCGCCCCTCTCTCGTCGCGGTTGGTATACAATTGCGTAACTGTCCGCGACGCTTTCGGCCACTCTATCCTTTTCGTGTTCACGGGACGGCTCCTGTTTCTCTCTCTCTCGCGCCCTTGTCGCCGCGAAACGCCGACGGCGCTTCGAACGCTTGGTAAAAAATTTGAAACACCTCGTGTGTTTAGTTCTGTTAAAAGTACAAGGGACGAAACTTCGTTTCTCCTCGAATGTTTAGTTTCGTGTAATTACATTATTTCGAAAGGAAATGGTGTTTAGCAGCGATTGCTAGCTGTCGTTTAGCAGTGCGTTTTGCAAGTCGAATCGATCGTTGATAAACACCGATTATTTGAACCGCGATCGGTGAAACATTTATTTATAGTTGTAGTTTATTTTCTTATAGTGAAAGCCGTGAAATCGATCATTCGTATCGGTCAGTGACATTTGAAAATTGGTTGGAGCAACTTCCGGTAGAGACACTACCGTACAGAGCGTGCAATGAGCACTTCCTGCACTGCACGTTAGCTTCGAGGGTAGTAAGCTTCGTTCGCTACTAGATGGCTGCACTGAACGGTTAAAAAAAGCGGGAACCGTGTTTGTAAGTAAGGTTAGAATTATTCCCTTCTTTCACGATTTATAACCGTTAGTTGATGCATATTAATAATGGTTATGAATTAGGTGAATACGATAACGAGGTATTAAAGATTGTATAAAACTTTTTATTCAATACTGACCAATGCTGTCAAAAAGGCAATCTTCGTCGATAATATGATATTTACATAATATAAATCTAGTATTTACGTATATATACATTTAATTATATTTACAATGTTCGTAACGGCGAATTAAATAAATAAATTAACTACTGCTAAACCAGTCGGTGCCCATTGCTCCGAAAAATGCAGCCGCTCCGGATTTGATCGTAGCACCAGCGGAATCGATCTTCGTGTTTTCCTTGTTCGTGACTTTTTTACGCTACAATGTACAAGCAATTATTTTCAATATCTAGAGCCAGTTCTATCAAATCGTGTATCTGACCACGCAATCGTGATTCATCGCGTACGATTTATGTGCACGATAAAATAAATTATGTTTGTAACACACAAAAACAACGCAAAATTATTTCGAGTGTTAAAAAATTAGTGTTGTTTAACGGAAAACGCGGCATGCAGTATCGTTTCCTTACCGCATCGAATGCTCGATCTATCTTATCAGAATGTTCTGGCAATCTAAGAGTACAGACGCATATATATGAAATAAATGTATACATGTAAGCGTGTGACAGAGACGTTTGTACGAAACGATATGTTTAAATAAACGCGATGGTTTCTGAACATTTGTGAATATCGTATTTACCTGTGCTTTTTCTGGCAACGTCACGGACACTAGGGGTAAATTTCTGGCTGGAGCTGTCACGGTCAAAGGTGGAAACCATGGTGCACCGGTGCACAAAGCCAACACCGAAGGCAAATCCAATTTTACACCTTCGCTGTTACCGTACTCGCTTCGTGCGCCCAAAATTGAATGGAGCTGTTCCAAATGCGGTACCAAATTCCCCAATATGAGCTAGAAAATAGAAACACAAGTTGAGATACGAATGTCTTGTAACAAACTATTTAGCTTCTTCAAATGCTCACCAGAGATCTCTGGGCGCTTTTCTTCACATTGGTGTGAATGAACGGATTGAATACATCATAATCGAACGGATCTATTTTGGACAGTACGCTGTCGCAGGCCCTTGCTGACAAATCAGACAAAGTTTTATTCTCTCGTGGCACCATGAGCAGAGTGCAATATTTGATATCAAACAATACTTGTAAAGCCTGTTTCTGTGAAAGGTTCACATTGCTCAACGCGGTTAAATAATAATTCAACAATTCTACGGCAACGTCTTCTATGATTTCGTGGAGCACTTTTCTGCAATTAATAAATATTTGTGATTCCAGTATGCAACGAAGACTCGAATGTAATGCACAACTTACTTTGGAAGAGTGTGTGGTATAATTTTATTTAAATCTTTACTAACTGCGGTTAGAAACTTTTGCAATTGTATGGACGGCTGATAGGGCACCAAGATTTCAGACTTTATCCTTTTACCCTCCCCAGAGTCTTCCTCGATAGTTACTTTCTCCCACTCCGAGATGACCAAGTGTATTCGAAAACCGTCGAGCGGCTCTTTGGATATGTACTTGCGTTTGTGTTCGTTCATTTTAGTTTTATAAGAGGCAGCCCAGCTCGCCCACACGGAAATGCTCTCTTCTTTCAGTTTGTCGCAGATCGACTGCCATTTCATGTTCGTGATAGTCAAGCCGGGCACCTTTGCAAGCGTGAAACATTTATTCAGGTTCGAACCCAACGTCGTCAATGCCAAGAGGAATCTCGCCATCACGATAGTATTTATCTCACGCTGACCATGTTCCGGTTTATCGTTAACGCATGTCGTCTTCACGAAGCTTATGAAATCTTGTATCATGCTGGTGCTGATCGTTTGCAAGTGTTCCTGGATTTCTACGCGGTCGGAGAACGTGTCGGAAATCAACGATATGTTCGTCGATAATAAGTTCTCTTTTATAGACATTACGCGTTCGGTCTCGTACAAGTATTGCTCGAGGTCAGAAAGCAAAGCGTGCAAACTCGCGTCGAAGCTTTCGCACAACTTGAGAATATTCGGCGAGTACCCTTTAGTCTTCATCAATAAGGATCTTCTGTTATCCGGTCCGCCATTTTTTGTAAGCTTCTGGGGAATATCGCTCGGGGAATCCTTCCAAACGAACCACCGCAGATCATGCTCTGGATACTCGAATTTGTCGTGAACTAGTTTCTTCAGCAAATCTGCTATGTCAGACTTCAATGCAGCTATAGTTTCCATCCATTTGTCGTTTATAATACCTAATGAATTATTCAAAATTTTGTTTCTCATTTCAAAATTCTCCTCATTATACAGGGTGTCCCAGATTTTTTAGGTTAATACAGATCATTCGACAAAGTTTCACCGTTAAAATTTGAGACACCCTGTACATTCTATATTTATGTTACGTACTTTTCACCCGTTGCGATATGATAGGTTGAAAAAATTCCACCCAAAATGTTATCCTCGGTAGAGAAAGTTCTTCCCAAATTGAATTCCAATTTTCTGGTAGATTGATACTAACGGCTTCCTCGCGAACGTAGTATAAACCTTTTATGGATACTATTAGATTTAAAAGTTTTGCAACCTCCAGGTTGCAAAATTCAGCGACCCATTCGAGCCAAGATTTAATATTCTTTTGAAGATCTGGCAAAAGGAAATTTTCCGGAGTGCTTTGAACGAATAGTTTATGCTGTTTTATTACTGGCGGGAGAAATTCCTGCAATAATTCTTGATTGAAGTCTAACTGAGACAATAACGAGTGTGCTTCATGGTCTTGAATTTTTGTTATATACTGTAAAACGAGGCCTCCTGATTTATCGTTGGTGCCTGTAATAGTCGATGAACGCGTTATAATGTAGCACATGTATGATAAACGAATATATGCTGTACTTACGTATAAAACAAGAATAAATTAAATTGACCGTCTGTATTAAGATTTCAATGCATAATTTTATTTTGTTCTTAACGTTACTATCGTTCTCGTCCGTAACAACGAATTTAATAGCACGATTCCGCATAGATATTAACATTTCCAATAAATCCGAGAACGACGATCCGTTTAACAATACGAGCGCCGCCAAACAGTTTGCTATGCTCTAAAATGAAAGTAACATTTTTAATACTGCGGTAGACATAAATCTATGTATCTGAATTAATACCAACCTCCGACTGTACATCCAACGATTGCAATATATTATAGCATTCGTTTAATATAATATTTTTGAACTGACTAATTATGTCCCACTGTTTGGAAACAATTTGATATTTCTTCGATAGCTCTGTAGTTCCCACTTCGAATAACAAACTGTAATTTATATGTTGAGCTACTAAGTACAACTGAGTGGCAAATAACAAATTTTTGCTTTCGATACTGGACCAAATATGTTGCGGTATATCCATTAAAATTTTTATTTGAATAATAACCGAATCTTGAATTCCCTCTACCTTCCTGCAAATCAATAAATCTTTGTAAAACAGCAAGTATATTGTAATCAGGTGAAAGAAGAAATTAATAAAACTACCTATCGGTCTGGTTCGTAACTGGTTCCATTTTGAAACCAATAAGATATTTCTTTTGTAATTCTCGAAATTTGTCTTCTATGTTAGTGATCCTCGATATAACACGTTCCGAAGTTACTTTCATGTTCCCAATTGTATCTGCAGCCAATATCAAATCTCGATACCTTTCCCTAAAAATGTTTAATCGATCATTGAATGTACACAAACAGCACACCGATAACCTTCTTTTTTTTAACAGTGATTTACTAACATCCAACTACTATACAAATGTTAATACAGACTAATAAAGAAAAACAAAAATAATAAATCATTGACTGAAATGAACTTTACCCAACTAAAGTTCTAAGCTCTATTTTCTTCCTGTCACTTTCATGTTGTATCTTCTTCTGAATCCCCTCGATTTCTTTGATCGTGAAATCCTCGAACAGTTTATTAATATCCAGCTCTAAATAATTCGTTGTCATTTTTCTGACAATTTCTGTCCACGTATCTCGAGTATGGTATTCCCAGGTGTTCACACGTAATACAAAATCAACACAAACTTATGTTGCATTCTTATCAACTGCATCCGACGGAACTGTTGATGATTTTCGCGCGCCAGATAGCGCTTCACTCGTTTTCTCCGATTCTCAAACGATAAATTAATATGCAAACACGGACGAGGTAATCTGTGATACAAATTAATTATATTGTATTTATTAATAAACGTTGGGCTCGCAACCCAAGCCTATAGGTGGCTTGCGAATAAAATAAACCATGTACACATATATATTTTGTAAGATACACGTAATAAATTGTAACCAAATATGTTTGATGAAAGGAATTTTATGATACATTTAAAGTACCTTAGGATGGGATTTTATAAAACGCATTTTTTAAGATAAAAATATATTTATTTGTTAACAAGATTAGATACAATCATCTTAAGACTAAATTAGGTATTGCATTTATAACTAGTCAGACTTAGAAGCATAAACAGTCTTCCGATTCTAAATAGAATTGTAGATATGGTTGATGCTTCTTGTTCGACAGATAGGGATCATACTAAAGATAAAACCATTGCCCGAATGGCAATTTTGTATATATATTGTATGTTTAATTTAAGATAGGGAGCTTGCTGTCGCGAAAGTCGTTGACAACAGGCAGTGGTTTTCGCGGGAAACTCGCCGCCATCCGATTCGTAGTTTTGATTTGCTCGAAATGTTGGAAGCCGGAACGAGATTGAACGAAGACCCATCGCTGGCTGAAACACGCAATCGCCGGAGCACGCCACCACGCGGCGCTATGTTGAACCACGGTACGAGCACGCGAGACGCCATATTGAGCGAATGTTGATTGAATGCGGTTTAGGTGTTTACGCGGTTCGGAGTAAAACCCGTGAAAAAACGTATCGATTGCCGTGTAGCCCGTTAAAAGTAATCGCGTACGATCCATTTGGCGAGCCAGTTGCACCACGCGGTGATAGAATGAGCGGCAGCGACGGCGAGGACGGTCAATGCAACAGGACAAGAGAAAGCAACGTAGCAGCGATGGGTGACGTTCTCGCTAAGAAACACGCAGACGATGCAACTCGCGATGGCTGCACTGATGCGAACGACGATCCCACGCTACAGGGCACGGACCCCGTCGCCGATTACGGGGACGACGCTGTCAGGTCTCCTGTCGTCGCGGACGCCGTTCCTGTCGTGGTAATGTTTCCCCGCTAGCAACGGACTCACGAAAAGCATTCGCACCTTCGCAGATATCGATTACAAACGATTGATATCTTTTTCAAAGGAAGCGTGACGGGATCGATATTGACTTCGCGTCGATCGAACTCCTCGATTCGCATAAATTTCGTTGCATAATGACAATTCAGTGGAATGGCAACCGAAACATTCAATAAATTAGTAGGACTCGAGCATCTAAAAATTACTTCCAATGCAGATTATATGTACATAATTGTAAAATTACTATGAATCCCAACTTCTTTCCCATTACCTGCACTTGCTCCAAACGGTATAAGCCCCATCCACGATGCGATACTATGCTCTCAGAAATTTAACTGAGACGATCCAGCATGGAAAACATTAACGTTTAGTACTGTTTGATAATTTAGGAAACTATCGATCGTTCAAAATCGACAACTGCGAGGGTATCTTTGCTATTTCCTACCTGTATTTCTATTTACCTCGCTGTACTATAAATTCAACTGTATTTCCAGAACATGGCGCCAAATGAGAGCGCGATCATTGCATTTATTAAGGGTGCAAGAGATCCTGAGACCATTGAGCAGAGCTCACGGAGAAAGAGTTTGGACAATGTTGTAGAGAATTTGAACAGCAGCAGTATAGATAGTCCTTCTAGAGGAAAAGATGCATGCTCCTGTGATATATTTAAAGCTAAGAGGTAATTATCGTTGTTCCTGCAATTTAATCCTTGAACAGCCACTCGCTGCTTGTGAAAACGAGTACAGTAGCATCCACACAAGTGACCAAGCTCGGAACCAGCCATGGTTACTTCTCAAAATTCAAAATTTACATGGTTACTTGTTCAAAATCAAACCATATATACAATGTAGCGATAACAATACAACATAACAACCGATAAGTAGGCAAAAATCCAGTCACTTGTGTGGGCACTACTGTATTGATGAAGACGAAGGTCAAATGGATGGTTTCAGTAGGATGAATTATTATTGCAGAGAATTGTTCAGAGAGGAACTGCAGAAGGCTATGAAGTTTCAAAATCTATGGACTGAATTGAGACAACATATACGGACCTCTTTTAACGCCGCATTGGAAGCCTCTTGTACTTCAGGAAGCTTACAACTGCAACAGAGCGTGCTTTCTGTAGATAATATGCATGATATTGTTCTACAGTGAGTTCCATCAATGTCATTCGGATAACCGATATTCACGAAATGGAGTAAGCGGATATGAACGTAGTATTTCTTTTCAGACTATGTAAGAGGGATCCCCGCCAGTTGTTCATGAGGCTAGTGAGTCAGGCGCAGGAATTTGTTGTAGAAGTAAAAGTTCGATTGTTAGCTCTTCTACATGATCGTAGTGTAAATAACTTAGCAGAAATTTTTCTTACAGGTAGCATATATGTTATTTCTTAAGGCAGTCCGTTGATCCCTATTAATTACTGTCTATGTTCAGTTCATGTATTCTATGCGTAGGTCTTTTAGATGATTACGACGCGTTGATATCGACGGCTTCGCAGATTTCTGAATTAGTTAAACCGTTGAAGGATCATCTGTGCAAGTTTAATTTGTCGTGGGATTGTTTCATTAAAAAGTTGTATCAGATTTATGTATACGATGATCCGTTGGTACAAAACAATTTGCCGTCTTTCATTGTACAGGTAAATGGATTGATCAGATAGCGATCTCCTGGTACTCGAAACCGGGCTTTGGTTTGTTCGGTGTTGAAGTAATTCTTTTGTTTCGCAGTTAAGGAAACTGTTGCCTTTGAAAGGCACGGAATACCAAGATCTCGTTCATCGATATTTATCATTTGATGAAGAGATGACGGTAATAGGGGACCTGTGGCCAGAAACTGAGCCATGGATGGACAAATACAAGTAAGCGATGGCACAAATTTCCCTTGCGTTTAGTAGAGACAAAGGTGTACACGTTTGCCTTATTGCATGGAAGCCAGTGTACGGGCAAAGTTTCATAAGCAGTGCATATTTCAGTGCAGAACAAGCAGTTCGAATGACCAGGCTCAGGCAAATAAGGGAGGCCTGGGAATTGTTCACAGCGAGTAGGAAACTTATGGAGCAGCACATGTTGAACAAATCGCCCGTCGGTGGAAAGTATGTTGACGCGAATATAGTGAAGTACTATGAAAAATACAGTATCCCGTCGCGCGCATTCGTTATCGAGGGTACAGCGTTGCTCTTTATTTTAGCGAATTGCAAGAGGTCGATGGTCAATTGTCGACGCTTGCGTCACAAGCAAAAGTTGGTATATCTGGAATGGACAGTAGGCCTTTAAGTCCAACTCCAGATTTTAGTTTGGATTCGCTCAATATGCCCCCGAGTATTGAGATAGTTCAAATCTTGTTAGATGACTGGAATAAAGCTCAGCATCAAAAATTGGCCGACATAACGGGCGTGCTGACGGCTACGGATATTTATGTCAACGGTCAAGACGATCCAGACTTTTCCGATTATGCTCGCGCGACTTGTCATTTAGCTCAGATCGCGATTAAGTCTGTCAGGTACGCTTTATTTAATCGTCTATAATTTTATACGTATTAATAACCTGCAAACGTTTTGTTGAACATTCAAGGGCTCGTTACGAGGTTGGGTGTTTAGAAAACAATGCAGAGGAAGAGAAACGTTGCGAATGTCCCATGTGTATGGGACCTCCTCTATCTCCGACCGTAAGAATTTGTTTAAATGTTATTTTCGTTGCTAAAATATCGTTGATTCAACTGGATTAATTTGCAGGACGATGAAAGCGACACAGACAATATAGAATTACCGTTAGAGAATCCTTTTCCACAACTGATCAATGGTTTTTTAGGTGAGAAAGTCGCTCTAATATGAAAAACCATACGATTAAGCTTGTACGTGTTACTACAAAAGTCCAATAGAAGTTATATTATTCTGTTTCGTAAACTCTATTTTAGAAGACACGGCAAATTGTTCTGCAACGCAGGTGAAGAAAAAAGTGGAGGAGGCGGAGAGTACAGAGATGGAGAACGAAGGAAAGGAGGTGAAAACTGTACCGGAGGATACCGATTTGAGAACGTCCGAACCGGAGCCATGTGCGTGCGTGTATCAGCACGCGAGGGATCTGATGAACAGGAAACGGAAGGTCCTCGATCCTCTTTGTCTCTGTCTGTTGAACTCGAAACGGAAGTGGGTCACTTGTCCCTGTTTGACGGAATGTAATTATGAGAAACGAAAATTTTATTTCCCCATTACAGCCGATACTCCTACCGATATAATCCTTGATCGTGTTTATTAGCTGTACCTGAAATGGTCGGTTTGAACAACCATCCGAAGCCAGTGTCACCCTCCGCCGTGAAGACTAATCAGGAACCAAATAAACCAGCGGTGAAAACTGGCTCTACACAGTCCGCTCAAACGCAAACGAGGCATTCTACAACGCAGACGCAGAGTACCACTCACAATCATACAACGCATCAAGGTAATTACCAGAGTTAGAGAATATTAACCCCTTGGCTTGCAATTACGTCTCAGAGACGTGACAAGCACGCACAGTTGGAGATTAAATCGTAAGGCAAGGGGTTAACGAGGGGTTAATTGATCAGTGGTATTCTTTTCTGAAATTGACCAGGTACGGCTCATCCTCCGCACGCGCACGGACCATTTCCAGACCTGGTGAAGAACACGGGTCCTCCTCACAGATCTCACACACACAACAACCATTCGTCGCACGCGTGTCACAAACAAGCGAACGTCGAGCACATCAAGCGAGTGTCTTGCAACGACCGTCAGTATCCGTTCGAAGCGTTAGAACCGTGAATGATTTTTTATAATTGTACAAGCGTAACATTCTGTCTTCAGTGAGTTCTGGAGACGGTGATTGTTCGGACTCGGGGAGCAGTCAAGAGGACTCTTGTTCGACCAGTAGTTCAGCACAAAGAGACTCAAGTAGGCATTGTGACTGTTGTTACTGTGAAGTGTTTGGGCATGGAGTTGTAAGTGGATTTTGTCAATGTTTTTTTATTTTATACGACAAACCGTGGCGTCGTGGCGTTTTTGAGAACAGTTGGTGGGTTGTTTCTTGCAGGCCTCCGTAGCGCCGGTTAGTCGAAATTATAACGAAATGAGGGAACGATTAAGGCAGCTGTTGACCAAGAAAAAGGCTAAAAAGTGTAAAGCTGCGTGTAGCCCCTCGAAGAGCTCGTCGGAATCTTTGTCGACTAACCCGAACACGGAAACGAAGGCGATAACGAATTGGGCGCCTAGATCGAATACACCGGTCTCGACCGCCTCCACGGTACAGCCGGACCAACGGGATCAGAGAAACTTGGAGGAGCTGCTCGAGTTCATCGAAGGAAATCAAAACGGGAAAAAGGATAATAACAAGAAGGCGGAGAAAAAGGCTCGACAGAAGCAACGGAAGGTTGGTTGCAATAGATTTTACTACTAGACTATATGGCAATATGTATAATTTATTAATCTGTTCTGTTCGTTGCAGTTGGACGAGAAGCTCAAACGAGATAGACAAGAAGCAGAAAGACAAAAGCTTATAGAGCTGCAAAAAAAGACGCCGGAAGTAACGATCACGGTCGTAGATCCGCAGAAACCTGTTCCTCAAAGATTATTACCTCAGTGTAATCTACCCGAAGTATCTATTTTACCTACGTCACCGCCAGTAGCATTGCCGACTGTAAAGCAATTAAGTAATAAAAAGAAAGACAAGCAAGAAGTTTGTAGCAATAGTAGTAACACTAGTAGCAGTAGCTGTAGCAGCAGTAGTTGTAGTACAAGTAGTATAAACAGCAAAACGAAGACTGCACCTGTGAATACGAATCTAAAGAACAAAAGTATTAATATCAGTAAGCTCGATAAGACGGTGGTGTCCGGACAAACGAACAAGACGACCGCCAAAACTGACAAAATTGACGTTGGTAACAAACCTAACAAACCGTTGACCATCAGCAATGGCGCAAACGGTAAACACAACGCGAGCAATGCTGTGGAGAAGTCATTGGCTCTAGACTTGAACGATAAGAAATTGACGAAGAAAGAGAGAAAGAAGCTGAAGAAAATGGAGGAGGCGAAGGCGAAAGAAACGAAGAAACCGGTTCAAACGGAGACGCAGCCTCAGATCGTGACCATCAAGAGGGTGATGGAGTCGAACAGCGCCGAACCGACGGTCACGATCACGTTGAAGGGTCAAACACCGGCCGAGGATAAAGTTCTGTTCACGCTGGTGAATGGTCAAACGAAGGAGGTCGCTCTGCCGAAATTGGAGAACGAGCAGAATCAGAACATCAGCGGGAAGAAGAAGAAAACCAAAGCGAACAACAACAACAACAACAACACGAACAACAACAACAATTCGTTGCAGCAGGGGAACAAGCTGCAGCAGTCGAACAACTCGAAGCAACAGACGCAGAACAAAATTTGCGAGAAGAACGCGAGGCAGCAGGCGAACAATGAGAAGACCAAAGGTAAACAGGTGGACGAGAAGAAGCTTCAGCAGCAGTGTATAACGGAGACGAAGACAAAGTCCAAAAAGGAGAAGAAGAACACGGAGAACAAGGAGAACGTGCTGCAGCAAAACGTGGTGAACAAGAACAAGAACGTGTCTAGCAAGAAGCAGACGAAAATAAACACTCCTCCTCAGACGCCCATATCGCAGAAGACGTCGCAGAACATGACCAACGAGAACCAGAAGAAGAAGGCCCAGCAACAGGATAAGAACGGTCAGTTGAACTCGACCAAGAACAACAAAATGGCGACTGCGAATACCGTGAATAAGCAAACGAAGAGCGACAATCAGAAGCCGCAGAACAAAATGCCCAGTCAGGTGACGATCAAACAGCGACCGGAGGTTCAACCAGCTGCCACGGAACGAGTTAACTCGCCGCTGAGTAGTCAGTTCAAGGACATCAGCGCGAACTCGAAGATCAACATAGAGAACTTGAAGTTGCCGCCTGGGATCACGATAACGAAGGTAGACGCGCCAGCGAAACCGTTACCGATCAGATCAGCGCCACTGCCCAAACCGGTGAACCCTCCGAAACAAACCACGATTATCGCTGCGCCGATGAGCGGCGTTCAGTCGAGCTACGCCAGTCCTCAGGCAGGTGGCAACGTGATCGTTGTGGACACTGGAAAACTGAAGCAGGATCTCCTCCCTAAACCCGGAGAGAAGGGTGGGTATAAGTGCAATGTTGTGTTTTAAAAAGTGGGTAGGTGTAAGATGAGTCTTGGAAAATGATTGATTCGAGTTGATTTTGAGATGATTTTCCAGTCGAATTTTACACTTACTCTTTCAGATTGTTCATTTTTTTTAATTTCTCGTACCCTATTTACAGACATGCCTAAGGAAACGCAACAGACTCAGAGCAGCACAGGCAAGAAGAAGAAGAAGAAGAATAAAAATGGAGGAAATTCTGGCAACAACGGTAATCAGACAATGGTGCAGAACAGTGATCCGTTTGGCAACGATCACGCGGACGAGCCCGCGAGAATACTTCATAATCCCAATACGAACACGGTGACCATAAGGAATCCAGCTTTTGGGCCGATGAAAGTGCCACCGACTCAGCAGGCGGCCATCATAAAAGTATCAGAAAACGGGATGGTGACTATCAGGAGTCCAGCGTTGCAGCAGGCGATAAACGCGGGTCTGACGTCTCCGCCAAAGCCCGATTATATAGTCAAAGGTGATCTGTCGTCCAGGACACCGACGGACAGCACCAATTTGAAGCACGTTAACGGTATCATTCCGTCGAGCCTCGCGGAGCTGAGGAGCAGACTGACGCCGGACTGCACGACGCTCAGCGGCCTGGCGAACATTCAGATCAGCAAGGTGACGAACGGTCAACCGATACCCGAGAACGGTATCAACCTGAAGGGGACCAGCGTCACGTTGACGAAAGTGAGGACCGACACTAGCATCAAGGACGTGCAGAGCGCGAAAACGGCGGTCAGAGAGGCGATAAACGCCTCGATAGCTGCCACCACCGGCGGGAAGAGCAAGAAAAAGAAAAAACGGGGCGCGGGCGCTAGACAGTGCGGAGATGACTGGAACCTCGTTGGTGAGAAACAACAATAATCAGAGTTTAACATGTAAATTTGCTTCTTTCAATTTTTTGTTTTTTTTTTTCCTTAACACACCCCCGGGCTGCATATCTCGCTCCCGGTGTTAGACGTATATTTTTTTCTTTTCCCTTTTTTTTTTTTTTTTGTCTTTTTTCTCTTTTTTTTTACAATGAAACAAAAATTAATTTATCGCAACGTCCGTTACAAGCCAATGGACGAGCGAGTAGGTTTGAATCGCACTGACGACAGTTTTTCTTTCGTTTCGTTCCGTCAGGAGTGGGCAGTGTACCGCGTTAGGACGAAGTCTCGGCTAGGTCAAATGATTTTTCGAATACCGGATACACTCGGGATGTCCTCGAATTGACCGCCACGAATATTCTTGGGGATTGTCCGGAAGAAACTTTGGCCAGTGAGCACTATCTTTTCTTTATTTTCTTTTCGCTGTTCCGCGCGTGCCAACGGGCCCGTTTTAACGGCCAATCCAGGTGACTTTTTCTGTCGAATGCAATCCGTAGCGATCACACTCTGCGTAAAACATTATTAATATAATACATATATATATATATATATATATATATATAGGAATTAATGCTTGCGTTAAAACAAAGGTTTCTCGACCAGTCGAGTCCAAGCATTTTTAAAGCACGACGTTTTTGACTCTTTTTATTCGCGTCCTGTTCAGTACACAGGAATACTTTTAGACTCTAGAAACATAGTGTCTGTGTTAAGAGAAATACGCAATTTTCTAGTCTAGAGATTTTAGCATTTAGCAGTCAAAAGTTTAAACATTCCTCGTCGTGTATCATTCCTAAATGAGAACAATGCTTCTGAGAAGTACACTCATGCTACCACATATATAACATATGCATGGAAAGGCCTAAGGCGTTCCAATCGACAGGGAGACTTTACATCCTAAATCTGCGGTGACACGAACAGAGTAATTTTGATATGCTTCGTAGGCGTTCTTTTCAACTGCCTGAATCTCGATATAGTTGTGAAACATTCCAAGAGAGGGCGCTGTGGCGTCCGTCGAAACTCACGTCGAGGTTTGGAATCCCGTATTTTGCGATGCAGGGTCGAGTTTCATCAAATTCGGGAGTGTATTTCTCACAGAACATTGTCCGACAAAGAAAAAGTGTGGTTACGGACAGGAGCAAGCGAGATAGATGCAGATAGTTAGAGACTCGCGTTTCCAGATGCCGCCACGACTGAAAATAATTATGCAATATACAGAACACGTTGCTTCCCGTAATTATCGATGTTATAATTGGAATGGAATTCTTGCGATCGAACGCCACATAACTTAACGAATATCTTTGCGACATTTTTCGATCATAACCTCAATTGTAACCCACGATAATACGCGCAAACAATCTAGGAATTATCTTTTTCTGTACCAACGTAAGTAAATTCAAAATTCTTAGCTGTTTTTTTCCTTCGGTTTGTCCATGGATTATCACGTCCATTTGCAAATACTATGTTTTTAGATTCGTAATATAGTTTCGTGTCCACTGAGGAGCGAAAGCAAAGAATCAAAAACGTTCGTACGTTAAAAATCCTCGAACCGATCAACTCGTTACGAATATATATACCCAACACATATATGTATACATATACTCGAGATTAGGTTAGCTTGTAGTCTCTGTCTCTCTCTCTTTCTCTCTCTGTCTACACCTAGGGATGTCCAAAATTCTATCCCTATTTTTTCATTTCGTTCCTTTTTTAGTTCTTTCTCCTCGAAAGTTGACGACGGATCGCGAGCACGCGGATCACACACGACGGGAAGCATGACGTTTAGAGACTCGTCTCGTTAGATCATTAGATGTTGAACCGGCGAGGACGAAGTTGATCGTATAATCGAGTGTTTTGTGTCGACTGTGGAAAGAGAAAGGAAAGATAAAGAAAAGATAATACGTAGGCCGCTCGTTGAGAGTCATGCTTTGGCGAGTTCGATCGATCGTTACAGCGAGTTTGCCTACACTACCTGAACACAAAAAAAAAAAAGAAAAAAAAACTCTCGATTGTGATATTGACCAGTACGATACATAGGTGTTGATGCGATTATCTCTTTGATCAGCCTGATGACGTATCAATAAAAAAAAGAATTTATTTTTTTTCCAACGTTATACTCTCTTTTTCCCTGTCGGTTGCTGACGTTACCCAAAATGCTGCATGCGTATGGACTATACCGCGAAAAAAAACAAAGTTCGTCTCCACAAGTTTCTCTGTCGCACACGCAAGTCGAAGACTCTCGTCTGCCTAGCTCCCCCCCTCTCGTCCCCTGATCAAGATTTTCTCCGGAGCTATTTTCTTCCCCTTTCAATTCTCGTTCTCGCATATACCCATACTCAGGCAGTACCTTGGCTAAAACGACACTCTCAATGACCAAGAACAGAATCGTATGCACAGCAGATCTTTACTACCCCCGCCCGATCTACCGCCCCCACCCACACCCCGTCCACCACTCGATCTGGGTACACCCAGACTTCTAGTATTCAGAGCGTGTTTTTTGCAGAGAGCGTATTCACGCCCAAAGATATAGACCTCGAGGACGGTGAAATGGACGACGCCGAGCGGGAACTGGAGGCCTTCAAGAGGTTTTGCCTGCAGTCGGTGCCGCCTCCGCGCAAGGAGAAGGTCAATCTAAACATCAAGGACATCGTGCTGAAGAAGAAGTCGTCCTCCTCGGCGGCGGCCGCCGTGATCGCCGCGAATTGATTTCTCACGACGTTGAAAAGCTTAGAACGCTTCTGACCCGCCACCCCCCCACCACCTCGAACTCGCGTCACCGCGCAGAATCGACAGTGGCGTGGTGGGGGGGCTGAGAGTTACCCACCGAGAATGGGAAACGAGCGCCGTTCGAGCCGCGCCACTCACGAGATCAGACAATAATACACGATTCTCCATTGTTAAAACGCAACTTGTCTGATGATTTCATTCGAACGCGAGATCGCGCCACCTGCGCGTACGAATCTCCGAACTGGCCCCGCGCTGGCAGAGATTCCAACGCGAGCGTGTTATCTCGTCGCGCGTCTCCCGATCGTTCGGACTTTGGTCGAGCTTTACGAACGAGCAACATGAAACGCGTTCGCGTCAATCGTTTTCAAAAGCGTGGATTAAATTAATCTGTTTCGCGCACGACCGACAATTAGGGACAAACTTTATTGTACTCGGTGTTTCTATTTTTTTTTTTTTTTTTTTTTTTTTTATTTTTTTTAATTAGTTCTTTAACTCTGCTGTTTTTTTTTCGCATCGAGCCAATCACCGACGAACGACGTTGTAATACTGCCACGGTCGATGCGCGGGAACTCGACGACGGCGTTGCGCTTGTTATTGAGAACGATCGTCGCCGAGGCGCGAAACGAGAACGAGAAACGACGAAAGAGCGAGGGGCGGCTGAACGCGTCGCGACGCCGTGCCGGCGACCGTGTAACGATAGTGATTTTTCCGTGCGTAGGGACACCCGGAAATGGGACGTACAATTAGGCACAGTGTGCCCCGGGGATGGGTGACGTTTGTTCTCGAGACACAGCGAGCCGTAGGTATATAATATATTATAAATGTAAAGTGTATGTATGTATATGTATATCTATAAATATAGTAGGAACGAATTTTCCCGTCGAGGCTGGTGTGATTGATCGGCCTTCGATTCGATCGCGGGAACGATCGTAATTTGCGCGCGCAACGCCACGTTTTTTTACGCGAACTTTGACGAGCCACGCTCGGTGGATCATTCGTGTCGTTCAAGCGGGATTATTCATCGATAATCGCGCGCGTACGTTTATCGTTGTAATACCGACGATCGAGCAATCGCGTCGCCACGATCGCAATCGCGGGCTTCAAGAGCACACACACACTTCTCGATCGACAATTTATGTCCGACACACCGACACCATCGCAGACACGTACACGGAGACACCTTTTTTTTTCAATAAAAGCAAATACGCATTTTTACCGAAACCATCCCCTTGGTGTTTGCAGCTACGATCCTCCTTCCCCATAATGAATTTATCTGGCTTGTTCGATACGAACGTACGATTTTTAGGGTCCAGGGGAAAATGGCGTACGAGGCCCTAAGTCCATTATCTTCGAGTTAGATATACATAAAGGGCATTCGACCAACTGTGGGAAAAATTTTAATGGGGGATTCTAGGGGCCAAAATAAGACGAAAATCAAAAATACCAATTTGTTGATTGAGGCTTCGTTAAAAAGTTATTAACAATTAAATTCAAAAATTTCAAATCGTTCTGGAAAAATTGTATTCGGTTGTAAAAATCAATTACAATCATTTTTGGTGAATAGACATACCCCCGAATTCCTACTCAATTTCGAGAAAAAAATTCGAGAAGCTGTGAAATTTTCGGCGAAATTAAAAAATTTCAAATCGTTCTAAAAAAATTATTTTCGGTTGCAAAGGTCAATTACAATCATTTTTGGTCATTACACATACCCCCGAATTTCTACGCATTTTCGAGAAAAAAATTCGAGTAGGTGGACAAATTTTTCCATGAAATGAAAAGTTTCAAATCATTTTGGAAAAATTATTTTCGGTTGCAAAGGTCAATTACAATCATTTTTGGTCATTACACATACCCCCGAATTCCTACGCATTTTCGAGAAAAAAATTCGAGTAGGTGGACAAATTTTTCGATGAAATGAAAAGTTTCAAATCATTTTGGAAAAATTATTGTCGGTTGCAAAGGTCAATTACAATCATTTTTTGTGATTAGACATACCCTCGAAATTCTATCGACTTTCGAGAAAAAAATTCGAGAAGATGTGAAATTTTTCGGCGAAATTAAAAAATTTCAAATCGTTCTAAAAAAATTATTTTCGGTTGCAAAGGTCAATTACAATCATTTTTGGTCATTACACATACCCCCGAATTTCTACGCATTTTCGAGAAAAAAATTCGAGTAGGTGGACAAATTTTTCCATGAAATGAAAAGTTTCAAATCATTTTGGAAAAATTATTTTCGGTTGCAAAGGTCAATTACAATCATTTTTGGTCATTACACATACCCCCGAATTTCTACGCATTTTCGAGAAAAAAATTCGAGTAGGTGGACAAATTTTTCGATGAAATGAAAAGTTTCAAATCATTTTGGAAAAATTATTGTCGGTTGCAAAGGTCAATTACAATCATTTTTTGTGATTAGACATACCCTCGAAATTCTATCGACTTTCGAGAAAAAAATTCGAGAAGATGTGAAATTTTTCGGCGAAATTAAAAAATTTCAAATCGTTCTAAAAAAATTATTTTCGGTTGCAAAGGTCAATTACAATCATTTTTGGTCATTACACATACCCCCGAATTTCTACGCATTTTCGAGAAAAAAATTCGAGTAGGTGGACAAATTTTTCCATGAAATGAAAAGTTTCAAATCATTTTGGAAAAATTATTTTCGGTTGCAAAGGTCAATTACAATCATTTTTGGTCATTACACATACCCCCGAATTTCTACGCATTTTCGAGAAAAAAATTCGAGTAGGTGGACAAATTTTTCCATGAAATGAAAAGTTTCAAATCATTTTGGAAAAATTATTTTCGGTTGCAAAGGTCAATTACAATCATTTTTTGTGATTAGACATACCCTCGAAATTCTATCCACTTTCGAGAAAAAAATTCGAGAAGATGTGAAATTTTTCGGCGAAATTAAAAAATTTCAAATCGTTCTAAAAAAATTATTTTCGGTTGCGGTGGTCAATTTCAATCATTTTTGGTCATTACACGTACCCCCGAATTTCTACGCATTTTCGAGAAAAAAATTCGAGTAGGTGGACAAATTTTTCATGAAATGAAAAGTTTCAAATCATTTTGGAAAAATTATTTTCGGTTGCAAAGGTCAATTACAATCATTTTTTGTGATTAGACATACCCTCGAAATTCTATCCACTTTCGAGAAAAAAATTCGAGAAGATGTGAAATTTTTCGACGGAAAAAAAAATTTTGTATCGTTCTGGAAAAATTATTTTCAGTTGGAAGAATCGATTACAATCATTTTTGGTCATTACACCTACCCCCGAAATCCTGCGCATTTTCGAGAAAAAACATTTTCAGTACGAACGGAACTTTAAACGTTAATAACTTTTTAACAAAGCCTCTATCAACAAATTGGTATTCTTGCATATTTTGCATTGTTCCTCGTAATACAAATTTCGATTACAAATTAGATATATTTCCAACTTTTAGAAGACCCTTAACCAAAAATTAAAGTGTCAATTAACCTATTTGCGTCGTCACTGCAGCGATCATTGAATTTTCCAGAAGGAGGGAGCCATCTTTGAAGCCAAACAAGGACGAAGACGAATAGATACGAGGAACGCGAAGTTCGCGCGAACTGGACAAAGAAATTATACTCAGATCTCGAGTATTCTCGAGTCGTCACGATCCGTGCAATTTGTATGCATCGTAGAACAAATCGATCTGACGTGTTCTCGATAACCAGGCGCCAGAGCGGCGCTGGGATTTCTCATGCGAACGTTGTTGCAGCCTGCCGTAGGTGGTGCATGAATTATTCCAAAGGAACTCGCGACAACTCGCGACGAATCCAGTCGAATAAAATCGAGGTGAAAGACACGGTACTCGGAGTTTCCGATTTCCCGGAAAATACTACTATCGTAGTACTATTGCGTAAGTGGCAATGGAGGCGGGGGGTCGTAAAAATAAAATCGCGATTTACATAATTTATTTAACCTGCAATATCGTTTCGAATAACTCGAACGAGCCTTTACGTCGGAAGTTGGCCCTTTGTAACGAGCAGCGCCCGGAAAGGAGATCAACGGTGCGGAGAATATTAGACATAGGCATGCAGCTTAGCGTTATATTCGCATCGCGTGCTACCGCCATGCTCTTACACGCATTACGTATTACGAATTTACGTCGGTCGGAAGACGAGTCGTTGACTTACCAGACAATGCCTCGGATCCATGCGATGGCGTTTCTAGTCCTGTCTGGCACAGATCTGCAAAATTGCTTGTCGTCTCCAAAATAAGTTAACAGAAGCTAACCCTAAAATTTAATTCGCGGGGATTCCTTGGAAATGGTCATCACGACTCCAGGAATCCGTGAAATTTTCCATCTCCTGTGATGTGGTCTCCTGATACCAAGTTCCAAAATCGACCGAAACTATCCCTCGACAGAGGCCATTTTGCCGTTGAAGACGAAGCTTTTATAAATAAATTCAATTGATGAGTAATATATATTTTAGAAATGCTTTAGTAACAATGGTACTGACATTAACAACTGCAGTACAGTTTATGTTGGCCATCGTGGTCTTAGTATAAACACAGTAAAGATCCCCGGAATAAGAATCAACGAGAGATTCAAACTATCGATATATTAATAATAATAGTTGAAAATATTTTTTTCGGTAGAACATGTCTGAGGCGTCATCTAGCGACGAGAACAACGAACTATTTGTCGATGAACTTGGACGTTCTGCGATAGATGGCGCTGCAATCCTCGTGCAGCGGTGCATTCTTTATTAGTATAAAAACACAGACCAAATTATACGATATAATGATGATTAAAAATATTTCTCGGTAGCACATGCTCGAGGCACTTTACTCATATTATTTATTTAATAAATACAAACGTATTCAAATTATAATTTAGCTTAATCTGAGCATTCTATTATTCTTTATCGTTAAGCAATTGCTTGTGATATTTTTGGTCGTTAATAATGGAGTCTGTGTAGCGATTAGTACAATCCCAATTTAATATTAAGCAACTAGTACCTGTATTTCAATACTTATTCAATCTGTAATAATCTTATGTAATCTGATATGGTACAACGTCTTGAAAGGTTATCTATTTCCGTTTATCCTCGATTTATACAAACTACTAATTTATATTCGAGCATATGTACACTGCCTTTATAGTGTTTATACTAAACATATGGATAAAGCGTTAGAAGAAAATTATCGTCGTGAATTACTGATTCAAGCAACACGTCCGAATGCAACATCACAATCATGATTCCATGACTGAACTTTCTCTTCACCGGAAGAGATATTCGTTTTTAAAATTCTACAAAAGATCGACATTTTTCGAAAAAAGTACTTTTCGAATTGATTTGCGTGCGATCGTGTTCGCTCAACAGCTCGAACCAGCGATCGTAAAGTGCTATACGTTCGAGGCGTGTTCGCATAACGTTCCCGTTTA